GGAAAGTAATACGTAATTTACTCCCGTTATTTCCTTTTTTTTTTTTTTTTTCTCATTTGCCATAACCGCCGACCACCCACGTTTTAAAGAAGAGAGAAAGCGTTTTATATTTTCTATTTATGCATAACTCATCCTTACACTTTCCGTTATTGGCAAACTTCGTTATCAATTTACTGATTTTGATATTTTTAACCTTTGGTAAAATTTTCTTTTACATTACGGTCCATAGACTATCCTTGGTGATTGTAAAGGAATTTATTTAGTAGTTTTTAAATTGATATTTATTAATACACAAAAACACATGAGTCCCATTTTTCACTTTGTTAATTAGGGATCATTTACTCAAATGTTTGTCTGATAAGTACTTACCGATAAGAGTCAACATTGTAATTTATTTTTTCGAGTAAATTTGTAGTGCATCAAAACCATATAGTATGCAATAATTTACTCGGTAACCGTTTATCCGGGTAAGAGTCGTCACTCTCACTTACTAGGTAAGACTCTCCATTCTTCACCACTCTTACCGGGTTCCATTCTTTACCACTCTAACTAGGTAAGATTCTACACCCTTATCATGTTAATCCGGTAAAGAAAATTGCCCGGTAAACACTTACTGGATAAGTGTTTAGTAAACGGTCCATTAGTTTATTCAACATATTGTTTAAAATTATAGATAAAAAGTTAAAATAAATATATCCATTTTCAACAGATTCTTTATTTTAAAGATTAAAACAATTAATTATATTATTAAAATATTTTATATAATTCAAAAAATATTATTTTTCTCTTCTAAATATTTAATTTCAATCAATCTCATTGGTAAAATAAATAAATAAAAAACATTTATCTATCATAAATAATAACTTTTGAAGAAATCTCCAAATTTAGAGAAGTTTATTCTCTCTCTCATACTTTCTTCGTTTTAAAAATCTTGTTGAAAATGTTCTTATATTATTGTCAAAATCCTTTAAACATTCAAATTTCATTTAGGATTAAACTTTTTCTTAAAAATTTCATAAGTCGAAGAATTTACAAAGACAATCTCTCTGGTTTTGGGGTAGATATAAGATTGCATATATCATGTGGATTGGTAATTTATCTCCATTCTTTAGGTACTATTATGGATTAATATCATATCTATAGATTTTTTTTGCATCAATACTTGTTTGAATAACGTAAGTTCCACCCTTATTTTTTACTTTCTATTTTGGTTAAAGTAGCCAAATTTTATTAAGAAATTTAGGGGACGTTTGAGATTGCTTATTTTAAAACAACTTATACTTTTCTACAAAAACACTTATCAATTTATTATAAATCAGAATGGTCTAACTTTTTCAAAAACTTCTTATTATCAGTTTGGCACTAGTATAAGTTGTTTATCCAAACACTCAAAAATACTTATTACCGGTGCCATACCGAAATAAGTCAATAAGTTATTTATATAAACAATCCCAAACACCCCTTAATCCTTAAAAAATTGTTCCCATCCAACACAAAAAGCGAAAGGGAGGGGGAAACGAGTTGGAAGATGCTGCAAACCATCATGCATTCGTTGCTAACCATCATGATAACATAACTAAAACCATATTAAACATTTTTAATAATTGGTTTATTTAAATATTATTTAACAAAATTAAGATGAAAGTAATTCGTTGATTTACTTATAACAAAATGCAAATGCATTTCATTTAGAGTGTGAGCTAAAAAAACAAAACTCATATACTCGCGTCATTTCGCCTTATGGTATTCTCATCAATATGGATTACCAAATTCAATATCAATAGAATAATTACGAATATTCAAATATCATAATACCATATAATCACGCGTAGTTCTTTTCTATTACTTTGATGATATTTGACATTGAGATATATTGATTTATTAATGGTATATATTTTTATATTATAGTTTATATAGATTAACATTTTAAGAGAGTTGGCCAAATTGAACGAACTCAATTAGTTTGAAGGGTCGGTCAAAGTGAGCCAACAACATGAGTTTAGATGATCGGTTTAAGGGAGCCTACCTTATTAGTTGTCACAAAGACATCTCAACCACTTTTCATATCATTCATTATCAATCTTTCATATCTCCATCAATATGAGATAAAAGAAACTCAACCACAATTTAAGAAACGAAAATTACTCAACTATTTTGTGCAACATCAATCTTGTGTTTGTTTACTTTTATACTTTAATTTATTTTTAACTTTGTGTTTTGCATGATATTTTAACTGTATTTCACACTACAATTTTACCATTTGGTTGGTTTTGATTCCATCTATGGTTATAGATTTTAAAGCATCCAACACTTCTTTATAGATCATTCATCTTCTTCCAAATTATCATCTTTCCACAAATGGGATGATGAAACTTAATCTTATTTCAAGATGATAGATATTTTTGTGAAATGAATTATGTATTTTCAACTTTGTCTTTTGCATGATATTTAACTGAATGTTTTGCACTATAATTATACCAGTTGGTTAGTTTTGATTTCAACAATGGTTATAAAATTTTCAAAGCAGTAATCACTCTTTTATATATCCATCATCTTCTTCGAAACTATCATTTTTTCCACCAATGTGAGATGATGAAAGTCAACTTTATTTTAATATTTGAGAAACACTCAAACCTCATATTGTTATGTCATCATCATTGGTTTCACTTTTAATTTTGCACTATAATTCTTACTCTTTGGTTGGTTTTAATACCAACCATGGTTATTGATTTCAAAGAGGGTCATCCAAAATAAAACAACCTTATACATCAAACCTCATGAATTGACACAAGGACATCCAATCCACATTTGTTATACACACCACTTTCTTCAAATCTTTCAACTTCTCATCAATGTGGGACAACTAAAACTAAACCACAATTTACCGTTGAGAATATTTCTAATCCACCTTTGTTACACACACCACTTTGTTTAATTCTTTCAACTTCGAACCAATGTGGGACAACAAAAACTCAATCACAATTCACCATTTAGAAATACTTAATTCTCATGGTGTCACGTCAACATCCCAAAAGTTTTCTTTTATATATATAAATATATACATAATATTTATGATTGTAAACATAATTCATTTTTATTTTTATATAATAAAATATGTTTTGCAAAAATAGGGTCATCCAGATAAGATAACATTATGAGTCAAACTTCTTGAGTTGATACAATGAATCTCATCATTTTTTCTTATACACACCTCCTTATTTCAATCTTTCAATCTCTCATCGATGAGGAATATCTCAAACTCAACTACAATTCATCAATACCTCAATACTCAATTCTCATGATGTCACCTATATACCTCTTGGTTCTTCTTTTAATATATATATATATATATATATATATATAGGGTTGGGTTCACGTGAGACCAGCCTGTTTTCGTGAGACCCGTGAGACCACATTTTTACACGTAAACTTCACAGCAAAAATACTGTGAAGGTTTAAAAAAGTCGAACCTTCACAACAAAAACACTGTGAAGGTTTTAAAAAGTCACCTTCACAGCATTTTTGCTGTGAAGTTTCAAGTGTAAAATGCTGGTCTCACGGGTCTCACGAAAACAGGCTGGTCTCACATGATCCCAAGTCTATATATATATATATATATATATATATATATAGATGGATAGATTTTATTTTTATATAACAAGATTTATTTTACAAAAATATGGTCATCCAAATAACATGACCATATGAGTAAAGTCTCATAAGTTCAAACAATGAATCTCATTTTTCTTTCTATATACACCTCCTTATTCCAGTATTTTATTTTCTCACAAATGTGGGATATCTTAAACACAATCATAATTCATTAAAACCTAAATACTCAATTCTCTTGGTGTCACCTAAATATCCAAATAAGATAATCTTATGAATCAAATCCCTTGAGTTGACACAATGAATCTTATCTTTGTTTCTTATACACCCCTTCTTATCCCAATCTTTTCATTTCTCACCAATGTGATATATCTCAAACTCAATCATAATTCACCAACACCTCAATACTCAATTCTCATGGTATCATCTCAATACCTCTTGAGTTTTCCTTTTATATATATGTATGTAGTATGTATCTATATATATATATATATATATATGTCTGTGTATGTATAGATAATAAGTTTTACAAATTACAATCATACTTTAACTTTATTATTATGTGATACCCACTTTTTTATGTTGTCACCAATATCATACAAGAAACCATACAATAATGATCTGTTTTTTATGATCGAAATCTTATATTGCAGTGAAATAACTAAACATCCTAAATACATATATTTACATTCCAAAAGATGGTTTTATATCTCATGACGAATAATCTTATGAGAAGAAAAGTTAAGGCGAGAATCTGGACCCTCGATCTTCTTTAATGTCAAACTCAACCATGAATCACATTTAATACGGGGATTGATCCGTTACATCTCATCCTAATATACATCCAAGAGTAGAGATCATTTTCTTACGCTTTTCACTTTAACTCTTCTTCTCATCGAATTCCAACCCTATATCTTATTATCAATAAGTTACATCAAATATAATAATTCTTCAAATTTTCAAAATGTTAACAATGACGACTTCATAAATAGTTCGTACATGCATCCATATACATCCGCAACTGGATGGCAAATTTTAAAAAGGTTCTCAAAGTAGAAGGGTTTTGTTTGTACAAAAATTCACACATGATGCCATTGGTAAGATTTGCTTTAATGTTCATAAAAATGTGAGTGCCGTTTTCAGTGTCTTCACTCCCAACCAACACCCTTCTTCTCCTCCTCCTCCTCCCTCCTCACCAAATCCGTTAAAGTTGAAGCAAATCGATTTGATTTTTGTTTTAACTTTTTAATTTTTCATGAATGCTACTTTACTCATTTATCAAGCAAAGAAAAGCCAATGATTCAGCTCTTCAAATCCTAGATGAATTAGTGTTTTCTTGCTTCCACACCACATCACATCTCTGCCCCCCTTTCAATCTCTCTGTAAACCACCATTCTTTAGCAGAAATGGTGAAGAACCCATCACAGCCAGACTTAGATTCAACAAATTACATGGGTACATTGAAGAAATCCAAGCATTTTAAACTGTTTGAACCCTCATTGGGCATATTAGGTTTTCTATTCATTACAGTTTGCATAATTTTTGGGTTTTTTTACTTGGATTACAGAAGTGTTATTACAGGGGGTGTGTTCAGATTTTCAAATGAGACACAAAGGGTTAAGTGGTTGAAATTTGGAGGGTATCCTAATGGTAATAGATTTGATTTTTTGAGTGTAGATGGAGATGGGTGTGATGTGTTTGATGGTGATTGGGTGTGGGATGAGAAGTATCCATTGTATGAATCTAAAAATTGCAGGTTTTTGGATGAAGGATTCAGGTGTTCTGAAAATGGACGGCCAGATTTTCTCTACACCAAATGGCGTTGGCAACCCAAAGAGTGCAATTTGCCTAGGTTCTTAACCATTCTACTACTTTATAGTTTCTTTAACTTCTTTTCTATTTTTGTTAACGTTTTTTTTATAAGCAATTTGGAATTCTATATGTTTCCCCCTAATTTTTAGCTTAAATTATTGGAGGGCAAGAAATCTTGATACACCAACCACCCATTTTTGTTTAAATTTATTGGGGAGGGTTAAACCACACTTTGACTTTCTAACTCCTGATGGCCAAAATTGTGTATTTGATTGGGAAGAAGCATTTAACACCCTTCTAACAAATGCCATATATTCTAATGGGTAGGAACTGATTGTATGGTTTCTTGAGCTATTTGATTGTATCTTTGTATTTATGGTGTCTTATTCTTTAGTTTTATGTGTTATTTACTAATCACTCATTTGGAGTGTTATGCATAATGTAGCAATTGTTGGAAAAACCATACAAGTTATGCTAAAATCTAAGTGATTCATGCAAGAATTCAAACAGGAAAAACCAGATTCACATGAAATTATAGATCAAACAAGGCTGTGCCATGGATGAAAATTCCCCTGAAAACTTCATTTTCTTGGATTGCTAAGTTACCACTGCGAAATTTGTCATAGACAATGTGTAATTTGAGAAGTTAAGGGATATTTTAGAGAACCTTCAAAGCTCGTGCAGAATAATTCTATATAAAACTTCATGCCACATAACCAAAAGCCATCACCGGCACAGTGCCCTCTTAGTTTGGAAGGCTCGGTCCAGTTTAGTGAAAAATCAGTGTGGGGATGAGCCACCTAGCTTGACTAGGTTCCACATCGCTTATAAAATGTTGTTTCGTTTGCTTTTTTTTTAAGTATCGTGTATTAGGCGCATTTTTTGGTTTCTCTTCAAAAATTCAGGAGGAGGATGGCTCTTTCTGGTCACAAAGAGTTGACCAGCTATGGAAACAATACTAGATTTTATAGTGTGTTTCAGACCCCCCCCCCCCCCGATTTGTAAAAAAAAAATTGTATGAAAGTTCTAGTTTATTTGTTTGCTCATTTGGTTGCTTATTTCTAACTCGTTTTTCAAAATTTCGCACAGCCTTTATTGTTTTCAACCTCTTCTTTTTTCTCCGATTGTTTTCCTTATGTTATTTTCAGCAATTTGAATCTGTATCTCCTTTTGTCCACATTATGCACTAGTTGCGGTTCTTTAAGGAAATATCTCACCCTTCCCAGACCCTACCTTCAGGTCGGATATACTGTGTTTGTTTGGTTTCATCTGGCGCATGAATCTTGCCCTTCTGTTTCAATTTAATACTGATGAGTGAAGTGATCTTATGTTTTTTTGGTTGGGTTGGGTTGTGTTGAAAATAGATTTGACGGGAAGCGGATGTTGGAAAAGCTGAGGGATAAGCGGATAGTCTTTGTTGGAGACTCGATTGGCAGAAACCAGTGGGAATCTCTTCTATGCATGTTGTCTTCTACAATTATTTCTAGCAAGGACAATGGTTCGATATATGAAGTAAATGGAAATCCGATCACCAAACACAAGGGCTTCTTGGTGTTCAAATTTAGGGACTACAATTGCACTTTGGAGTACTATCGGGCTCCTTTCCTTGTGCTGCAAAGCCGCCCGCCTCCTCACTCTCCACCAAACATAAGAACGACACTTAAGCTGGACCAAATGGATTGGACCTCCGTGAATTGGCAGCACGCAGATGTTCTTGTTTTCAACACAGGACATTGGTGGAATAACGAGAAAACGACAAGGGGGTATGTCACTTGTACTCCCTCCGTCCCAAAATAAATTTCCACAATAAAAAAGGCACATAGTTTGAGAAGTGTGTAATTATTACATTTTTTGTTAACTAAATGACAATTTTACCCTTAACAATAGAGGAAATAATGAATTTCTCCATCTTATAATTAAGGGTGTAATTGGAAAGTAGTCACTTTTGAGAATGGACACTTATTTTGGGACAAACAGAAACAGAAATGTAGACACTTATTTTGGGATGAAGGTAGTATCTTTTGTATTCTCCTTCTGTGCCAAACATAGGGGTGTGCTTGACTTTTGAGGTCAAACCTATGACTTTGCAAATTCACAAGTGAATATTGACATGACTAGAAATCTAGCAAAACCATATTTTTCAACATGTAATTCTTGTTATTTTGTTTAATATGTGTAACAAAACTTCAAAATTTTCTACTATTTTACCATTTTGACGGGTAATATGTTGATCTAACATTTGATGGGTAGATGTCAAGTTTATCATCCAATTCGCCGTAACCCTTTTCGTAAACGCGTATCCACATCATTTAATGTTAGAAGCTCAACAGGTTACTGGTCAAATGGGATACAAGATAGAAGCTTCGAAACTTTGTTACAAGAAAAAGAATCGTTACACTAAACAGGAACTGAACCAAACTTTGTTGCATTTTGCTCATGTTCAAACAGACGGAGTTCCTTCATTTTTCTTTCGCGGGTTATTTAGTTTTTTTTATACACAAACAAATCTATGCTATGTTTGCTGGTAGTTAAAAGATATATATATATATATATATATATATATACTGATTCCATTATATATTGAAACATACTGATCAGAGGTTGTTACTTCCAAGAAGGAGCACAAGTCAAGATGGAGATGGAAGTAGAAACTGCATACAAAAAGGCCTTAGAAACCGTTGTCGATTGGATTGATAGAGAAGTAAATAAAACAAGGACTCGGGTCTTTTTCCGCACATACGCCCCTGTACATTTCAGGTTTGCTCTTTGATCTCTATTCGCCTTTTTTCCCCCCGGAGATTCACTACAACAAAATTAGGTTTATAGGACGCAAAAGATGTCCTGCTTTATAGGACTTGGGGTTTATAAAAGTTTTTTGGACGTTTTAACAAGTTTTTTTGGAACCCTTCTAAAATAAAGTGTTGTATTAGCTTTTTAACAGAACACTTTTGATAAGTGTTTTATGAACACATTATTTTTATAAGATGAATTTTCATATATCTGCATAAAAAAAGTTAATAAGACGTTTTATTTCAGAAGTGTTGTAAAAAACTTTCTAAGACGTCCAAAAACGTAGTATAAACTTGTTATAACTTTTTATATAGGGTACACATTTGTTTGTTCCTTAAGTCCTCTATCAGGACACTCAATTTTTGTTGAAGTGATCCATCGTATCCTCCCTAAAACACGAAATTGTAATATCTTTACAGAGGTGGGAATTGGAGGGCCGGTGGAAATTGCCACTTGGAGACGCTACCAAATCTACGTTCCTCACGACTGCAACCATCTTTCGGTTGGCCACAATACCGCATATTCAGAAATGTAGTTTCAGATCGCTCAAAAAACGTGTCGAATGATGGTAAAAAAGCGTTTGATATACTTTATACGACGAGTATGTCATCAAGGAGAAAAGACGGGCACCCTTCTCTGTATTATCTTGGACCGAAGCTGAGTCCTGCCGCTGCACATCGACAAGATTGCAGCCATTGGTGTCTTCCTGGGGTCCCTGATGCATGGAACGAGATACTTTATGCTTTGATGCTAAAAAATGCACCTGGTACGAATGATTCATCTAATAGTCATTCACCAGCATTATGGTGACGGTGATGGTGGTGGTGGTGGTGATCGAGCTTATGTGCTGTTTATTTATTTTATTGGCAAGCAGCTCCAACCATAGTGTACATAAATATGCTTTTTGGGTAAGCTACGCATTTCGTCCCTGTGTTTTGTTAAAAATTGCAACTTCATCCTTGTGCTTTGGAACTATCGTTTTCGTCTTTGTGGTTTGCAATTCATTGTTATTTTCGTCCTTGATGCTAAGACGATCGGTGGTTTATCGTTAATGTTTGAGAGGTGAAAAACAACAATAAATTGTAAACCAATAAGATGAAAAAACGATGGGTTATAAACCACAGGGACGAAAAAGCAAAACCACATAGAAGAAAACTGTAATTCTGAAAGAACAAATTTTAGCAAACCAAATTGAGGAAAAACATTGTTTACTCGATGCTTTTTGATGATCACACCAACGCATTTTGGAGATGTTTGCGTTGCGTTTGGACAAGGTGTAGAGATGCTTCAATATGGATTGGCGGAACGTTAAAACATCTGTATATTTTGACTGCATTTAATTCAATTTGCCACGTTTTCGGTTTTGATGTCCATTAACAGTGTTAAAAAACCAACACCTAGCATATCGACCAACAACTAATATACGATAAAACATCAGAAAGGCGGTTTATAGACCATGAATGATTTGAAAACGTAAAGCAGGGTTGTTTTATCATGTGAACTATGTGGTTAATTAGTTAATTAACCTTAAATAAGGTTTTAGTTAGCTTTATAACATTTTAAAATCTAAAATTAACTTAGGGGGTGTTTGTGATTGCTTATAAAAATAACTTATTGACTTATTTCGGTGTGGTATCAGTAATAAACACTTTTGAGTATTTGGATAAATAATTTATACCGATGCCAAACCGGGAATAAGGAGTTTTTGAAGAAATAAACAATTCTTACTTATAATAAGTTGATAAGGATTTTTGTAGAAAAACATAAGTTGTTTCAAATATCAAATTTGTTGTATTACTAAAATAACCTTAATGGGTTCAAAAAAATGTGGAAAATTGAAGGCAACATAGACACTGACCTTTTCTTCCATCTAAAACCCCTAATGATCCCTCTCCAAGAAATCTTTCTTTCTTAAACAACATTCAACCTTTTTAACTAGTTTTATTGTACCCTATCATCTCAATGCTACATGAAGCTTTGATATCAAGTTTCCAAGCAAGAAACATTCATATTGGTCATAAAAAGGAGTCCTTGAACCATAAGGATGGTGTCTGATTGGTTTGAGCTTGACTCCAAAGATCAAAAAGTACCGGGAGGTCCCAAGTTCAAATCCAAGGAGGAATAAAAATCCCCTTGTGGCCACGGATGTTCAAATGCAGTGACTCTGGGCTATCTGCAAAGCAGGTGGTCGTTCTGAGATTAGTTGGCTCGCATAGCGGGTTGGATATCCAGGTTAATAAAAAAAAGGAGTCCTTGAAGCACATAAAAAGTGAAAAAGATGAGTTCATGATATTTGATTTTGAATTATCGAAAAATATAAATGTAGGATGCTTGAGTTGTTAACACCTTTTATAAATATCTGAAACAAACATTTTCGTCAAAAATCTACGTCATTTGACAAAAAAAAGGTGAAGTTAAGTTGAACAACGCTGCCTTAAAAGCTTGTTTTGATTTTTGTTATAAAGAAATAACAGTGTCATTAATCGTGACGAAATGCATTGATTCGATATGCAAATGGATAGTAGAAGAAACAAAGTATGCACTATGAGCATTTCTCTATTCAAACTTGTTATAATACTCATATTGGCTCCCTCGTTAATCGAAACGGGAAAAAAATGACGCGCAATTACATTGTTAGTTGAAAGCACAATTTGTAGGTCAAAAGGAGATGCCAAACCAAAAAACGATTATGACAATTGTTTATACCAAAAATTACACAAGGCACTTGTTGGGTTTGTAATTTTATATTGTATTCAAGTTTTCCTTGTAATTTGTCCTTTGCTATAAATAGGTAGCTAGAGTTAGAAACAACAACCAATTATCAGATTTGAAGCAGATTGAACCGAATTTCTTGAATTTTAAGGACTGTTCTTGAACACCCTTTTTTTTTCGAACATGTTTCTGTTTTGATTTTCGGATCCAAAATTCATAATCTGTGTGTGTTGTTGATTGAATTTGGTTGGGATTTGTTCGAATTTAATGTTGAAACTGTTTTGATTCATTCAATTGAATTGAATTTGAGGTCTAATTTTAATTTTGAAGTGTTCGAGTTTTTCTTGAGTTCTTGATCTTTTTGATCAAATTGTTCATTTTTGTTTTTGGAAAGATTTGTTTTACAAAATCTATTTGTAAACACTTTTCGAGCTTTTCTGTGCAAATTACATTTAATTTGGTTGAATTTATATATTTTTGGATTGAATATGTTCAAGTGTTTGTTGGATTAAACTATATCGCTCGATTTATATATTCATTGTGGGATATCATCTTTTTTATCGCTCACTGAATTTCTTGGTGAACTAGTCTGTTTTGCCCGATATACTATATTCATCGTTTGAAGTGTTAGGCGATATCCTTCCTTCATCACCTATTGATGGTTGTATCTTTGAAATCTTTCAAGTGTTAAGTATGTTTTGGGTATATAGTTCACTTGTTAAGCAAGTTACAATTTTATCACACAAGTCTTACATGGATTTCATTTTTCATCGTTCAAGTTTTGGGCGATAAACTGAGTTCCTTTGGTGGGCGATATAATCTCGGGAGATAAAGATTCTAAGTGTTTGGGCGATATAGTGTTGGGCGATTTACAAGCCGTTTGATATTGTGTTGGGCAGTTTACATTCAAGAGTTGGCCGATATCCAAGTTGGGATATATATCTTTCTTAGGCGGTTTATATCCAAAAGTTGGGCAATTTACAGAAAGTTATGAAGTAATATGATAATATGTGTTTTGAACTATTTGAAAGATTAAAATTAATCAATTAGAGAAAATGACTTCTAGGGAAGCTATGGTAATTGGCTCTGACACAAAACCTCCAGTTTTGCTCAGAGGTGATTATCCTCAGTGGAGAGATATGTTTCTGGATTTTATTGCAAGACATAATCCAAGTGATGAGATTATGGAGTCATTGACTGAAGTACAATCAAAGTTTTAGCGAGAAACACCAGCTATACCTGAAAAGAATTTGCCAGCTCAGCTCAGACAGAGATAAAGCAAAAGTTGATGTCTTGTGCAAGTCTTTTATGATGCAAGCCCTGACCAATGAGATCTACACTAGTATTGACTGTTATAAAGAATCTGGAAAGGGTATGTGGGATCAGATAGAGAAAATCTTGATGAATTCTAAAGTTGGTACTCAATTGAAGATTACTAACTGCATAACCAATTATAAAGAGTTTAAAGCCAAAGAAGGTGAGAGTTTGGATGATGTGTATGAGATGCTGACAAGATTATTGAATGATCTGATAAAGAATGAAATCAATAAAACCAGGATTGAGATTAATGTTAAGTTTGTGAGTAATTTGCAGCTAGAGTGGAAATCATTTGCCAATTACATTAAACACAACAAGTGTTTGTCTGAGATTGGCATTCATGAGGTTTATGAAACTTTGAAACAAAATGAAGATTCGGTCTTGGAAATCAGGGAAGCTAAAAGAAAACCAAAGAAGGTAGTTGCTGATCCTTTAGCTTTCGTGTCTGAAAGGAAGAGAAGATCAAGGGAAAGTTCTTCAGTAAAAGAGCCTGTTATTAAGAGTGATTCCTCAATAGAAGAAGTTTTTGACAATCATTCTGACTCTAACATGAAAGAGTTGAAACAAGCCATTCTGATATTGACTAGAGCTTTTTAGAAGAAGTTCTATAAGAAGCCACATTCCAACAACCAAAGGTTCTCTTCTGCATCCAACTATGAGTACAAGGGCAAGTTCAGGGAAAAGAAGAAATATGAAGAGAAAAAGTATGAGAATAAGTTTGATGATAAGAATAAGTTTGATGATAAGAAGAAGTCTAGTTAGGCAGTGGCAGATGAGAACACAAAGTGTTATAACTGCGGGAACAAAGGTCACTTTCCAGTTAACTGTAGGAAACCAGTGTCCAAAAACACTAATTACTACAAGAAAAAAATTTATTCTTTCCAAGCAAAAGGATGCTGGTAAGGCTCTAATGGCTGAGGATGACCATTGATTGAATTTGATTGATGACGAGGAAGAAGTGGAGGCTCTTGCCCATATCTATATGATGGCTAGAGAGGAGACTGAAATGTCTTAGGATGATGATACCAAATTAGGATCAATTTCTGAGGTATTTGAATCTTCTTATTTAGAGCAGATGCAGAGAATGATGTTCAAATTAGAAGATTTTTAGCTTAAACTTAAAAATAAAAAAGATCTTGTTGCTGTTCTTGAAAAGAAACTAGAAAAAGAACAAGGTGATTTCTTTAAAAAAATTTCATACTGAAAACGCTGAATTTTTTTCATGGGCACAATCTTTGAAATCTGAAAAACAAAAGTTGAAAGAGGAAGAATGATGACTTGAAGAAGCAGATTTCTGAAATATCAGAAAAACTAAAGTTATCAGAGTTTGCTAATGATGACCTAATTGTCAAAAACAATTCTCTTGCTTTACAAAATAAGGGTTTAACTGAAAAACTTAAAGATCTTGACATAAGTTGTATAAAAGAGGACAAACTGATCAAACTATTTTTCTGAACAAGCCGAATGAATTTAGATTTTTCAATCCAAGAGAAGGTTTAGGATATGAAAATCCAATTTTTTTTTTGAAAAAGTCACTTTTTCAGTCCAAATTATAAAATTGAGTTCATGAAATCATCTGATGAGGTAGAAGAACAAAAGCATTTAAACAGAAAAAGAGAAGATCAAATTCAAGTTCCTCTTAAGTATAAAGAATTGAATGAAAGTTGTCAAACGAGAGTGCCTACACTTTCAATTGATTACATTCACAATTATTCAACTGCTGAACTTTCATCAAAACCGGTTGAACATAAACCTTATACTCCTACTCTTGTTTTAGAAAAACAAATTGTTCATATGGAAAATGTTTTAAAAGAAGAGAGAATTTCTTTTGAAAATAGAAAAGGAATACTTTTGTCCAAAATTCAAAATCTTGAATCTCAAAGTGTTGTGCAAGAAGAGGAAAACAATGATTCTTTTGATTCTAAAGCCTCTTCATGCAAGGCATTTATGAGAAACTTTGTTACTAAGTCTTTCTGTAATTCTACTGATTCAGATGATGTTAATGTGTCAAAAGAAGAAATGAAGTTTTCTGAAAGTCTAAATTTTGATGTTTGCTTAGACGAAGAAATAAATTAGTTTGATTTCTCACAACAACTTCTCAGCCATGTTGAATTTTTAGATAAAGGTAAAGAAAAGGCTGAGAAACCAATCAAGATTTTTAAAGGCAAAAAGTCTAAATCTGAAGTTGAACCTATTCCTGTGAATACCTACCATAAAAACAATAAATCTGAAAGGCATTCAAAG